GCTTAGCGGCTTAGCCCTTTCTTATACTGTCAACACTGGGAATATTTGAGCCCAACTTCCCAAAAACTGCAAAATCTCTCTCTCTCTCTCTCTCTCTATATATATATATATATATAGGGGCCTAAATGATTACCAATATTGTTGTGGGGCTTCCTTATTGCAAATATGGTATCATGGGTCCCAAAACCCTATTCAAATGATTAAGGCCCCTATTTTAGGCCTTGGCTTGGTTCTTGTTGGGGCGGTTTGGAAGCTTTTACGGTGCCGTCCTGCCAGGAACTGTTCTTGGAAAGCGAGAAAAGGGAGGAAGATGAGCAGGAGAAGGACCTCCCCAGCTCCGCCCACAAGCTTCGTCGTATCATTATTACTAGTCTGCTTCTGATTATTATTGTTAGTATTTAGTATTATTAATACTCTTATTATTACTCTATTATTGCTCTTATTACTACTCTGATTATTACTCTTATTAGTAATCTTGTTATTACTCTTCTTCATTGTAACTGTTATTTTTCGTTTGTCCCATGATGTTAGCCGACAGCCGCGATTGACGACACAATCTAGGCGAATCCAAAAAAGGTTGAAGAACAAAATCGATGTAGGAGTCGGAATAATTGGTATTGAAATCCCTTACGTCCCTATCTGTTTGCCACATAATATGCACCCAAACCCCTCTTCTAATAACTCGGGCCCTTGCTCGAGAGTTTCTGCTGCTCCGCAGGAGCCTGATCCGCCGGAGCCCTTCCCCTGGAGCGCGGACGAGTGAGGGAGTGTGGACATTCAGCGGCCCTCGGACTGGTTTTCGATCGGGGCCAAAAAATTTCAGGGTTGAAGGGTTTAGTTCCAGGATACAGGCTAAGCATGAATGGAAAACACCGGAGAAATTGAGTTATTGCGAGAAGAGAGCATAGAATGCAGTCGCCGCTGGCATGCAGTGGCACAGAAAACATGTGGCCACAATCAGCAGAAATCGGATGATTGTTTGTTGCTGCATTCCCTGGGAGAGCGGTGCAAGCTTGCCATTCTTGCAGTGAGTGCTGTCAAACCACATTTCCCCAGATGCTGGCGCCGCCACCTCCCAGCGTCACCGTGTATAGATCTAGCGCTGGTGCCGCGAAATCGCCGTCATACAAGCCCATATTCCGACGCAGACACGCGCGCACAGCAAAAATGTTTGCCTGGACTCTGCAAGGCAGCTCAGCTGCTTCCCCGCCGATATCCTGCATCCCTGCCAGAGCACTCAGAAACCCTGATCCCCAACCCTACCGGTGCAGAGCGCTCCAACAGCCGTCCGCCAGCGTCAGGAAATCACCCTGTGGGCATGGCTGCATCCATCCATGAAGGCGTGTCGTCACAGCTGCACACCTCCCAGCAGAGCCTTTGCACTTTGTTAGATTTGCGGTGGCTGGCCTTCGGCTTCTTCACGAGCCACTGAGAATCTGAGACTCAAGCCACTGCGGACCTTTGATTTGGAGTTCAAAGTCTTGGAGCTTCCACCTTCGAGTGCCAGCAGCAAGGATTCAATAGCTCGGACATCTCCAACTGGAATCTGTGGAATGCGACCTAAACCCTCAACCCTAACCCTCGACCCTAAACCCTAGACCCTAAACCCTAAACCCTAAACCCTAAACCCTAAACCCTAAACCCTAACCCCCTAAACAACCCTAACCCTCAACGGATAGTTCCGGTGGGAGCAGGCGCCTGACGGCTTCGTGTTTGACTCGAAGGCGACCGATGCATCGTTTTTTTTTCTCGAGCATGGGTTTAGGGTTTAGGGTTTAGGATTTAGGGTTCAGGGTTTAGGGTTTAGGGTTCAGGGTTTAGGTTTTAGGGGTGGGCACCTGCATTTCATTTTTGCCTTTCGCCGCTATACAAAGGTATGATCCTATGTAGCACAGTATCGTATGGAATAGCACCTAGTATCGACTCAAGGATGTAATATAGGGTGTATAGTATATAGTAGCTAGCAGCTAGTAGCTGGGGTCCAGTATCTAGCATCTAATATTCAGTATAGCACCTAGTATACATATAGCTTCATAGCTCATCCCGCAAGTCGTATGTCGTATACAGTTTCCAATCTATAGTGCTATACATATCATAACAGCAACACTAGTCACTAGTCCCATAAACAGCAACCCTAAGCCCTAAAGAGAATTGAAGCACAGCCCAAAGCCCATACACATCAACCATAAACCCTGCACTCGGAGACTCTACCGCACCTCCAACTTCAAGCCAGAGAATGAAGTCGAGGCAAACCCTTAAACCAGGCTGCTAGGGTGTAGGGTTTAGGATTTAGGATTTAGGTTTTAGGGTTTAGAATTGAGGGTTTAGGGCTTATTTAGGATTCAGGGTCTAGGCGTTCTGGTTGAGAACGCCTGGTTTTACAACCCGAAAACCTCATAAGAGCCAGGGTTGTCTGAACCAGGCTCCTTCCTGAGCCCCCTTGAACCCCCAAGCCGCCCTCCTTCTGGAACGCCGTGGAGGCCAATCCCTTCAAGATCACACCAAGCATGAACGTTGTGGATCTCATGGACGAAATGGAGCAGGCCTATGACGTTTTGCGGCAGGTCTTGGTAGTAATATGTTGATTTATAAAGCTACGCCGTTTGGCATCGCATACGGGAATCTAGGTTTGAGGATGTCGGTGTTGTTCAAATTGTCAAACAGAGATGGGCGGTGGTTCTTGCCCGTTGAGCTTCAGGGTTTTGTGGCTTCCGAGGGTTTCAGGCCTTGAAGAGTTCATGCACGAGGGTTTGGCGTAGGATTCGGGTCATTTGCGCTACATGTCCCGGGAACGGGAAGATAGAGTAGCAGATCAACCCGGCACTATCACAGTTGCATAAGGCAGAAGTACAGTGATATTTCAGCAAGGTCAGGTCATATAGTACTACAATACGAATTTGGCATAGGGCACCGCAGCTGCATGAACGGATTAGAGAAAGGCGGAGTAAGAGATCAAACGCGCACAAACACGGTTTATGAAAGATGACTACAGTCATCTGGCATTTGGTAAGGTAAAATTAACTGATATAATTACTACGATTTGGTCTATAAAGAGCATGGCAGCCCCCGGGAACTTCTAGGCTACCAAGATACTTCAGCTTGAAGAACCACCCTCCAGACCCTATTTCCTGAGAAAGCCCAAACCTCAAAGGGCTCCAAGGGTGGGATGAAGAAAGGTTTAGGGTTTAGGGTTTAGGGTTTAGGGTACTCCCCAAATAAGAGTCCTCAGATAAGGAAGCGGTAATCCTACCTACCTTCATCCCACCTTTCGAGGCCTCCAGAAACCAGAAACCCCTAAACCCTAAACTCTAAACCCTAAACCCTAAACCCCGAGCCCCCTGAAGCGCTCGCAAGGTCTACGAGGAGGCCAGCAATGAGAAGCTGGAACTCCAGGCGGCCTCCTTGGGCCTGACATGGTTTGGTGTTTAGGGTTTAGGGTTTTAGGAACCTGGTGCTCTCTGATATCTGGATAAGAGGTAGGTTTTCTTTATCTTCGGGCTTAGGGACTCAGGTTTCATGGCCTTAGACTGGGAGCTTCTGCACATCCTTGACCTTGAGAGCTTAAAGGGTCATGGGACTTAGTATGTAGGGTTACAACTAAGGTAACTATACTTATAACCCCAATTAGGGGACTTATAACCTTACTTACTAAGTTCCATGATCCTCCAAGAGTGGCATGTTGAACAACCGGGCTCCCCGGGTGTGGGTCGGACATTTCGATGCAACTTCCTCGTGCGTTGAGTGCGGTAGAGTGTAGGTTCTTCATTTCGGTGGGACCTCTCTGTCAACTCTCCTCCTGTGATAGCTTTGAGGCCTTCGATCTCAAAGCCCCATCTGCTCCTCCATGATAAGCGCAAGAACCAGGGGCGAAACCTACCCTCAACCCCAAACCCTGAGCGTCGAGCCGTACCCCCCCCACGTCGCAGATCAATGTCCTGTGGAACACCAAGGCTCCGCACAATGCGAGTGACTTCAGGGATCGAATTTAGGGCTTCTGCTCTTGAACTTGAGGGATCTCGGGACTTCAGATCTGGATGGGTTTCTGCCTGCCTGTAGCTCCCCGGAATGATCTGCAGCGCACGTGAAGACGAGCCGTACTGGCGCCAAGCACCGCCTCCCTGAGTTTACTCTGCTGGTGTCGCTTCGTGTTAAGATCTTCAGTTCAACAGACCACAAAGGGTACTAAGATGACAAACATACTCTAAACTTTCGACCCTCAACTGCTAAACGCTAAGGCCGAAGCCCCTAAACCACGAATTCAACCCACTCAGCGCTAAGCCGTAAGCCTTTCTCCGTCCAACGGAAGATCCAGTCCGGCACCAGTTGGAGCCTCCAAGCCCTGAGGTCCATCCCCGTGAATGGCTCCCCAAACCCTGATATTGGGGCCTTAAAAATTGGAATAGGGTTTGTGGGTATATTGCAGTAAACTATAATTATAACATAGAACCCCAAAAACTCTACTCCAATTGTTCAGGCCCCTACATTAAGCCCTCAGCTCTTAGACCCAAGCCCGAAGTGCCTAAAGCTCAAATCCCCAAACCGAAACCATCCTAAACCCAAAAGCCTACGCCCCAGAGCCTAAGCCCCAAAGCCTAAAGCCTAAAGCGGTCAAAGGGGCTCCTTATTATAACTCTAGTACAACATGCCCCAAAACCCTATTCTACTTACTAAGGCCCCTACATTAAGCCCTTCAATTCTGCAAGTGGGATGCCTGTACCCGTCAAGAGGATCCTAAGAAGGCCCTGAACCCGACGGAGAAGGCTGCAGCCGGGTTTAGGGCTGAGGGTAAGGGGCTGAGGGTTTAGGGATTCGGGTTTAGGGTTTTTGGGGTTTGGGGCAGAAGGTTTAGGGATTTGGGTTCAGGGTTCTTGGGGGTTCGGGCTGAGGGCTCTGGGATCTGGGTTGAGGGCTTTCAAGGGTTTAGGGCTGAGGGTTTAGGGATTTGGGTTTAGGGTTTTTGTGGGTTTAGGGCTGAGGGTAGGGATTTGGGTTTAGGGCTGAGGGGTTCAGGGTGTTTATCAAGGTTTCTACCAACGTGCCAACGGACACGGTAAAAGGTTCATGATTAAGGCTTGCTGTAGGGGGTACTTTTGTTTCTGTGGCAGTTAGAGACTAAGGGTTACTGTAGAGGATACTGTAAGGGGTTAATACAAGGTTTCTATAAATAAGAGCTATCGAATGTTCTCTTTAGGGGAGAATCTACTACGGCGTTACCCAAAGATGTCTATGTAGGGATCTAACCCGAGCATGCTTGGGCTTCTTTTTTGGGGGAGAGTTTCAGGGGACGAAGCCACGTGAAGCCTTTCGGGCGCGCGCGCATGCAGCGGTGAGGCCTCAGTGTTCGTGGTGGCAGTGTTTAGGAGTTTAGGGTTTAGGGTTTAGGGTTTAGGGTTGGAACATCAACATCCTCATGCCCTAAAGGTAAAGTACAGGGGATCCCAGCACCAATCCTCCTAAGCCCATGTTCCAACTTTCTGCGCTTCACTGTAGGAGTTTAGGGGTTTAGGGTTTAGGGCGTTGCCTTCCGCTGAGCTTCCCCTGATCTGGAAAAACACCCCGAAGCCCGAACTCCAAGAACCGCAGCGATATCCCCTAAACCTTAAACCCTAAACCCTAAACCCTAAACCCTAAACCCCGAAGCCCGAACTCAAAGAACCGCAGCGATATCTTGGCTCTCGAGCGCCACTACGTAGCGCCGACATGCCTGCACGGCGCCGGGAGCCTCAGGGGACTCTGACTCATATTAGAGTTTCCGAAATGAGG